AAGACACACACACACACACACACACACACACACACACACTACACTCCTTCCTACCTTAGAAATCCCCCAAAGACTGAGATCATGTTACTTTTATTCCTTTTCTAGTCTAATGAAAACATGAATTGTTGCCTATTGCCTGTTATCAGTTTATCCATATTATGAGTTAAATTTAAAAATTAATGTTAACTGAGGGTGCTATTTCTCTGCAACATTTTTTTAACTAAGTCAAAGGCACAGTGATTATTAAAACAAGACATAGTTCCGAATAATATACTTCATCATATATGCTAATATGACAAGAAAAGCCAAAGTCTTAACTAGTGTTCCTATTGAAAGATGTCCTTATAAACTCTAACATGTAATCCCCATTCCAGAAATTAAATTATAGAGCAAAATATATTCTCAGAATATAAAAACCTTTTTACACTGTAAAAAGAATAAACATTTATAATGAAAAAATGTTCTATTTATAACTTCCAATTATAAAGTTTTCTCATAATACTTCCATTTAGTTTTTATATCTTTACTGATTTTATTTAGTTTTGTTTTGTTTTCTTAACAAACATGAGTGATTAGGATTGTCTTTTTGATTTAAATTTCATAGGAAAGAAAATCACAATGTACATTTTCTGCCCAGACTGTATGTATGGCCTATGTCTTTAAAATGTTTGATTCCACATGGATTTCCTCTTTTATTTATAGTTTCCAGAAAGGATTCTTTCTGACAAATTAGCAAGTCAAGGGCAACCAATTTGGAATCCAGGCCCTAAGAGCACAGTACCTCAGGTCTGCCACCTGCAATGTTTTCTAGACGGATCAGGAAACACAGACAAAGCTTAAACTTCTGTGTGGAGCAGGAACCAAATGTGAGCCACAAGTGGGTGGTCCACTGAGGTCAGGGTTAAAGTTCACAGAATAATTTGGAAATAATTCTCAGCTTGGATCTCCTTTATGAGACCTGAGACTACACCCTTTAATTAGAATACAATTTCCAAAGCAGCCACTCCCTTGCCTTTCCAGAGCTCAGTTATTCTCAGAAAAGTAAAAACAGCCTCATCATGCTGACAGCTAACAGTCCCCTATAAATTATGTCTTAAATGTCCAACAAAGAAGGCAGCAGGCATCCGGGACAAGGAGATGTTAGCTGTCAGCCCTCCCTAAGAACTCTCAAGAATAGAGGAAAAGAAGTCATATTAAACAGAGCCACTCTCCTTCACTGCTTGCTTATGCAGCTGAACTGTCCCATGAAATCTTGGAAAAAGAGTGGGTTGTACATTTGAAAACGTTCCCACACTCCAGCTGCCCTCATTTTTCGGCTGATCCCTCCATCCAGTTAACCTCACACTACAGCAGGAACACTAAAATCAATTCCATGAGAGCCAGCTGTCCGCCTCTTCCATGGTGCTTGGGGAGCCACAAAGGACTCCTAGAATGGCAGTCAGTCTGATCCTAACTCACCACAGATGTTTCGCTCCTCTCCCATGTATCTCTTGAGACAGGCCAGTAAGCCAGGACAAGTGGAATAGGGAAACTGATACAGATAGTTAAACAGCAGTTTGCAGCCATCTGGTAAAAACTATCTTCTCTAAACCAGGAATAGTTAAGAGTAAATGGTTTGCACCTCTCCTACCCAACCAGAGGGTAAATAGTTTAAATTGCCCTACTCAGGGAACAGATAGCAGAAATCCAATTAGTACCATTTACCAACTACACCCAAGAACAGATGAAGTTAAAAAAAACCCCTCATTTTCATATATCAGCATAAAGCTGATGAATATTCTATAGCGATCTTCCCATAGGACCTCGCCTAAAGGCCCAGCCTTTAAAATCCCTAAAAACAAATGTCCCAGTGCACTCTCCTTCCCAGGAGCATGACCCACCCTCCCCCTCCACACTTCCTCCACAGGCATGCATCTACTAAACCCTAGCAGACCCACAAGGCTTGCAACCAGGGCAACAATGGGCAGCAGCAGGCTGTCCCAGACAAAGCCCCTGAACCTCTCCCCAAGGCCTCCTTTGTTCTGACTTCAGAGTGAGCCAAAGCATACCAGCCCAGACTTATTTCCCCAGCCCTTTCTTGTTTCACTGTACTCAACTTTAATAAACATCCTCTAAAATTCACCTGGACTCACATTGTGAAACTTTTCCTACATAAAGTCCAGAACCTCACACATTACTGATTGGCCCTAGGTCCAGACCCCCTTTCAGGGCCAGGTCCCCTTTCTGGTAACACTCTAGCCCAGAGCCTTCTTTTCAGGACCTGTTGTTATTACAAAAGATTTGGCCCCAAAATTTTGCTAGATTTGGACCAAGCGGAAAACACTCATCTCCCTAACTGCAGAGTTAAGAGAGACACAAATTAAATTATATAGAGATGGCCGAACACTCTACAAGAAAGGCTAAAAAAGGAAATTCGGGCAGCTTTGTAGAGTTTCATATTAGGGAGTTAGAACAGCAGAAGCTATGACAAGATCAAACTTTCAAATGCTATCCCGACTTGAGTCAGGTTTAAAGATGACATAAAATGATCCATTTCAGCAAATCCAGATATCAAATCTTTCTGTAGACCCAATAAAATTGCCTTTGTCTGGAAAAATGTGAGAAGGAAAATAACAAAAATGTAGTTTTTGAAATTTGTTAACAGAATTCAGAGTCCAATGTAAACCACAAACATTTGGAATTTATTGCCAGCTTATGTTTCAGGCAGGAGCAGCATTTCTGTCATTATCTTTTGTATATCAATTCACCTGTAAGTTTTTCCAGCAGCCTTCTCAGATGAGACAATAAATATCTTTCTCTTTCCTTCTCTCTCTCTGCATTCCTTCAGTGAATATTGGTAGGAAACTAGATACTTGTTCCCAAATGCATGAAACCAGTGTCCATGGTACAGGCTTCATTATCCCAATAAAAAAACAATTTCATGCAATTTATAATATTTGTATCACTGTAAACTTAATTAATATCAGCAACAGAGAGAGTTCATTTTAAATCCATTCCCCTTAATGGTACAAATTCTATGGCTAAAATGAGTTTCATCAAAGAGCACAAAAAATTTTGACACATTAAATATGACTCTCCAAATCCTTTTGCAATAGTGCTTATATTTGGTTTTTGTCTTAAGAGTACTCATTTAGCCCTGGCCAGTTTGGCTCAGCGTTTAGAGCGTTGGCCCGTGGACCAGAAAGTCCTGGGTTCCGTTCCCACTAAGGGCACGTACCTCAGTTGTAGTTTGTCCCGGCCCTGGTTGGGGTTGTGTGTGTGGCAACCAAATGATGTGTCTCTCTCGCATCAATGGTTCTCGGTCTCTCTCTTCCCTCTCTCCCTTCTTATCTGAAGATAAATGCAAAAATTTCCTCACGTGAAGATAAAAAAAAGTACTGATTTGTATTTCCTTTAGTGTAGGCTTTGGGAAGGGAAAGTAGGGAACTAAATCAATTAAATGAAACACACACACTTAAAATTACATGACTAGAAAAAAAAAGAGAGAAAACAATCATGCTCCCCAAGGTGGAAATAAAATTGTTTCTAAGACTTCTTCTAGCTCTCACTAACTCTCTGGCTGTTAGGAAATCACAGACAAAATACATCAGTATCTCACAAAACTATGTTTCAAAACAGCAGAGTCAACATTTATATAGAAGTGCAAACCAATTACTCTTAACTATCCCTGGTTTAGGGAAGATAGGATTTACCACATGGCTGCAAACTGCTGTTTAACTATCTGTCTCAGTTTCCCTATTCCACTTGTCCTGACTTACTAGCCTGTCTCAAGAGATACATGGGGGAGGGGCGAATAAATGTTTATTCGAAATAATGTGTATTTGATTCTTTGGAAAAAGCTACATAAATTTTGCTCCTCTCAATGTTCTGAACCTAATTTCCTTCCAATTCCATTCTCTGAGACAAAAGATTTTTTCATTTTTCTTTAGAGTTTTGTTTGAAATCTTGAAATTTCCTTCAATAGTGTTTTTATTGTTATTTTATGTTTTCTACTAAGTTCATTTTTCCCTTTTATTTTTGCTTTCTTCAGTTTTTCTGTTAAGGACAGATAATGGGCATTCTAGAGAGGAAAAGAAACATTCCAAGATTCAAAGTATATGTAATATGTAGCCCAAGAAAGGGTCTCTATTATGAAGTTATCTGAACTGAAGAATTAAATTTTAAAATAATGCTTGATTTCCAAACAAGAATTATTTTCCTGTCTGTTCTGGGAATATAATAAGACATGGAAATTTGGTTACCATGAATGAGAATTCTAAAATATATACTCCTATGCTCTTTTAGGTGTGGCACAGTAGTGACCTTTACACTTACACATTACTACAGAGAAGAATTTATTATATGGTAAATTCATCTTGAACCCACCTTAGAGAACTTAGTGACCAGAATCTGAGCTCCAGAGAAGAACCTGATGGGAAATCAGCATTCTTAAACAGCACTCAAAAGACTCTGCTATTCCCAGGCATTCCCAGAGTAAAATAAAAAATATGACAAAGCTTTTGTATATATTGTACGCAGTAATCTTAAGAAGAGGAAGAGAATTAAAAACACAAGGAGTGATAAAAATGTTAATTGTAAAAAAGAGTTTGGAATCTTTTGGCTTAAAAGACAAGAGACCAAATGGAATTATCAAAGCACTATTTATTGTCCTTTAGCTCTGCCTTTACCTTTCTAGTCTCACAGTCCACTTAGAATTGTCTGCTTTTCATTTGCTCACTGCTCGAGAAGAAATTAAGTTTTGTCTAAATTTCTCTCAGAACTGAGAACATAATTTACAGGTCAATAAATTCTTCTTTTCTAAAGAAAGTATGAAAACTGACAGAGTATTATTTATATCCTAGTTCTAGCCCTAGATTGTAAAATTCTTGTGAAAACACTTTCATATAAATTCTGAAAATTCTGATTTATAGATTTTTAGCAAAATGATAGGGTACAATTAATTCAGAGCATATTTTAACAGTCATCTCCAAATCACTGCAATTTTCTCTAAAAGTACTTACTTCTGATGAGTTCATCCTCTGAATTATTTCCCCAAATGAACTGGTCTTGGATATCTCCATGTGTGAAAGAGCTATTGGTGGCTCTCTCCGTATTTTCTTCATCACATTTATCTGAATAAAAAAATATATATTTATTACCATTAAATATTGTATACCTTTTTCTATTTTCCATTTCATAGATTTTTCCCCCTAAATGCTTCTAAGTCTGCCAAATTTTAAGAAAATTGGAGCAGTACCTCTATTGACTATTGTATACATAATGACTCAATAACATTGACTGAGCACCTACTGCATGCCTAGAATTTAAGAAACAGAGATGTTTACAGTAAAAATTATCTGCCAGGATTATCATAAACAAATTATCAGAACATGGCAAGTGATCTGCCATGAAAGAGAAATGTGGAAGGTTACATCAAGGATGAAAGTAAGTCCATACATGTAGAAAGTGGGAACAGTAGGGGAAGCACTAAAAGAGAAGATACTTTAAATAAGGGGTAGAGATGAAAGTCAGCCTGTATTTGAAGGAGAAGTGAGGAGGTACAGTTTTCTTCATAGAAACATGGGAAAGAGTCAAGGATTGTGTTATAAATTCTCAAAGAGAAAGGGTGTTTAGGATGAGGGATCTATACATGCATTTAAGCATTCTCAGGTGGAAAGCTTATTGGAAACATAACTCAGGCAAACAGCAAACTATAACACAAGGTAAAATGCATGTGATGAAAGGTCCAGAGCACTAAAGGTGTTCAATGATCTTTAAAAAATTAGTGGGGATTCAAAAAGAAAAGATTAATGGAAATTCTAAAAATAAAGATGGGAAAAAAGCTATTCCAGGTGGAAAAGAGCATGAGCAAACTCCAACAGCAGACACTTGGGGAATGGTTCCAACTCTGGACTGAAGTACTTTAAGAGGGACATTAGGAGACAGGATAGTAAAGGTTTGAATAGAGACAGAGAATGGACATTTTTATGTTAAGGTGAGAAATCCAGACCTAATTTAAAAGTAAAATTAGCCATTGAAGCTTTATGAATCGCCTAATCTAAGCTATGTATTAGGAAGATTAATAAATATGTATACACTAGTGGTTCTCAACCCTGCCTGCATTTGAACTAACTTGGGCAACCTTTTAAAACACAGATTTCTAGGCGCCATCACCAAAGACTGCATTTCAAATTAGGGGAGGGGTGCCTATGTGATTCCACTGAATTTATATCCTTGAAAATCACCAGAGTATGGGTGTAACAGGGAGAATAAAAAAAAGGGGGGGGGGGGGGGACTTGGCATAGTCCAGGTAGAAGTTGATGAGAGTTTAATCAACTGGATAACAAGATGGGAAAGAGGGTAGATGTGAGAAAATAACTAGAGGCTTGCATAGATAATCTGGAAGATGGGATTAGAGGTAACTGAGTTGTCTTAGTATGGCTTTGACAAAGAAAACCTGGTACAGAGCAGATGTTTAGGCAATGTGCTAGGCAGTGGGGGTACAATGAATTAGATGCAACCCAGGCCTCCATGGAATTTAAATTCAGTGGATGAGTTTAGTGTTGGATATTTGAATTTGTAAATCATAAAATTATAGCTAGAAACAGTCATCTTCCTAAATTCGATTGCTAAAGCCGTCCAAATGACTATGCTCACCAAAAGAGTGAATATATGAAAAGAAGTGTATCAAGTGGGTCTGCACAATTAGAAAGATGAAAGAAGGAAGAGAAGCTTGGTGATATCAAGCCATGGAAGCAAGGTAAGAAAGAGATTCAAACAGAAGTTATTAGTCAACTGTATTAACAGTTCCGTTGGAAGGAACAGTTTTTCTGCACATGCAAAATTTGTCATGTACCATGGGGATTTCACAACAACTGAAAATTCTGACATGAAACACATTTTAACACACGAAAATAGAAGGACTTAGGACTAAACCCAGAGGCTAAGAACTCCAAAAAAATAGGGTCTTCAATGCTTAGTATTTTTGAAAAGCCAAACCATATTCAGATAGCAGTAAAATATAAATTAGAAACTTGTTAAACCAATATGTTCTAGATTTATGTAACATTTACACAGCATTATCTTAGAGAAAATTTAAACTTCCTGAAATGTTATTTTCAATTGAAATCTTTACTTTTGTAAATAACTCCAGGTATCTTTCCACTACTACTGTCAATGCAAGGCCTTTCTGAGATTATTAACAGAAAAGATTTTTATATAAACTCACTCGTACACGTGAAATCTCTCACCAGCAAAGTCCAACATTACTTGCTATTCCTGTTATGTAGCTGACTGCCGCCAGGTGTCATGCTAGTAGGCTTAATTCAATTAGTAACTTTAATTGAAGCTGAATGAAATTAATTATATAATTTTGCACTGTTCAAGTATAATTCTATTAAAATTAATTCATGAAACCAGGGCATTATGAAGCATTGCTGACTAAAAGAAAATAGGTATGAATAAAGCCTCTAGACACACTTGACTTACATTTGAATTATGTCCAATATTCAAGTGCTAAACTGAGAACCTCTCAATCCTCCACTGAATAAATGAAATTGTTATGTGGTCCACACACACAGATTTAGTAATGACTTTCTACTAAGATGAAAATAAAGTTCTTAATGATCTAAATATTTATTACGAAACAGTTTTATCATGTGTTGGTTTCCTTATCGGTGATAGAATTAGGTGATCCCAGAATCCTTCTCAAATTAAAAAAAGAAAGAAAAACTATTATTCTCTATCTTATTACAATCACAAAATAATAAATAATATGTAATGACTACTAAATCACAACCATCAATCTATTCAACTTTGCCTCCTTTGAAAACTAAATGTCTTACCCTGGCTGGTTTGGCTCAGTGTTTAGAGCATTGGCCTGCGGTCTGGGGAGACCCGGGTTCGGTTCCCGCTAAGGGCACGTAGCTCGGTTGCAGTTTGTCCCCGGCCCTGGTTGGGTCATGTGGGTAGTGACCATTCGATGTGACCCTTTCTCATCGATGTTTCTCTCTCTCTCTCTTCCTCCCACTCTATCTGAACAAAATATCAAAAAAAAAAAGAAAGAAAACTAAATGTCTTGGCTCAAAATTTGGTGTCAGGCTTTTATTACAATCCACAGCACCCAGCTAAAAGCAAGGCTCAGGAAAGGTTTTCTGTATAAAATTTAAATTGTCCATTGCCAGTTTTCCATTTTATAAAGTAAACTTCTGTGACCACTTGACTGTTCTATGACTTTCTAATGTATGTACATTTTTATGAACATTTTTTTAATATTTAAGAAATATCGCCCTGCCCAGTTTGGCTCAGCGGTTAGAGCATCGGCCTGCGGTCAGGAGAGACCCGGGTTCGGTTCCCGCTAAGGGCACGTACTTCGGTTGCAGTTTGTCCCCGGCCCTGGTTGGTCATGTGGTGGCAGCCACTCGATGTGTCCCTTTCACATCGATGTTTCTCTCTCTCTGTCTCTTCCTCTCTCTCCCTCCCACTCTATCTGTACAAAAAATGGAAAAATGTCCTCGGATGAGGATAAAAAAAAAAAAAAAAAGAAGAAATACCTATATGGCAGCCTCATTAATGGTGATCTAACATTGAAGAAATGCATGTAGAGAGAGATTTAATTGATAAATGATTGTAAGATGGGCACCATGATGTCCAGCCACAGAACCAACATTACTACAATTTTCAATAGGTTAGGTCAGCCACTACTCATTACAATGACAAAACAGCAGTTCCTGATAGCAAATTCTGTGATCACTGCACGTTTGCTGTGTTACTTCCCTATTACAGAAGCAGAGACCACAGTCGTTCCAATTTAATCAGTTCCTTTCTGGATTTATGGATGTTTATAGTTACAATTCAATTACCACATGGGCCTGAAAGACAAATCCTGTAGGCAAGCAAGTGAATTCAATGATGCATGAAATCAGTCTCTACCTTTCTACAAGATTTCTATATATATATCCAATAAGCATTCCTACCCAACTTAGCAATTTTCTCTTAAAAGGGAGACTTCATCATCTCAATTAGGCTGTTCTGAGCCAATGGTTCTCTTTGGCTTTTTCTTTTTCTCTTGTAGTGCTCTTTAAACATAAAGATTCGCAGGTTCCAACCTCAGAGGTCTCAATTTGGGTGGTGTGGGGGAAAGGTGAATATCATTATCATATATGGCCAGGTTATATGTAGGTCACTGTTTTAAGTACTAAACAATTCAGAGAAAACTTAGCAGAGCCTATCAAATATTGATATAAAGACCTTGCTTCTTATCACCTTGTCACAGTATTCTAAGTAATCAGAAAATACAATTTTATCTAATCACTAATTAATACAGATATTTAGTTATGCCTCCATGTCAGCTCAACTCTTAAGAATATAAAATCTGAATTATATGTAATTCTAATCAGTTATACTAATAGTTGAGTATATAATGTTTTAGATATTAAAATGAATAATGAAGACATTTTAAAAATAGCACTAGAACAAAGTATACTTATATACTACTGGCATTTGCTTCTGAAAGGCTAGCTCCCAGGCCTTCTAGTGTGCCTACTCCAAACAAAGAAGTGCAGAAATTATCTTTAGATAAAGAAAAAAAGCTTTGTCCTTGCAAGTCCTCTAGCTGGAAAAATCAAACACACCTATAAAACAATCAAACAAGTACAAAACAAAAGATAATGAAAACTGCCTTGGGTCACAATTCTGGCTCAAAGACTGACCAGCTATATGACTGTAGCTGGGCCTCATTCTCTTCAGTGGGAAGAGGGCACTAAACTAGATGCTTGCAGAAGCCTTTTTTGGCTCTAAAATTCTTTAATCTAACTCTGCACAAGATCGAAACAATAGAACCAAAACTTCATATCCACATTGGAGGATATTTAGAATGGAGTAGAGGAGATCATAGAAAAGCCTTTGTAAGGCACTGGATTTGAGTTCAAAGTGACAAGCCTGAATTAAAACAATTACATAAAAAGTTCTAAATGATGAATTTAAATACAGTATGTCCTATTCAGAAATAACTATCCTACCGGATCAATACTCTTTATTTTTGCTATTTTTCTAAAGAAGGGCATGAATGGTGAGAAGCAATCTCTTTCCAATCTTGATTATTTTTTGCTGAAGGAGAATGAGAAAGATTTAG